CCCCTCCGACCTTCTTCCTGATCTAATATCATAATTAAAAAACCGTAGGGGAGATTTTTAACTTTTATTGCGTTTCTGGAGTTGGGTTGCTAAACATATATTAACTTTACGTTCTTCTCTTTCTCGCCATGGGGGTGGTCGCTCCGAAATAAAATCAATCTTAATATACAGAGAATAGATATTGTTTTGTCTCTTGCACGCTGTTAGAAGGAAGGGAAAGAAATCTGCAGACGGTTAGCTCAGAGAAGGCAAACTCATCATACGTGTAATGAATCCTTTAAATAATTCAATTATCACAGCACTAATATCAAATAATTATGGTTACGAGTACCAGTAATCAACATCCTCCCTGTTGAAAAATTAATTTACAGTATTGTATATGAGTTTCTTCCGCTTTTTCTCCTTCCCTTACCCTTCTTTTTTTTTTTTTTATTTTTTTCTTTCCTTCCAACTCGCTCATTATATTTTTCCGCTCTGCTGTATTCGACCTGAAAGGAAAACAGCCGCACTCCGTCCAACATCGCTTTCAACCGAACCAACAGCATTTTTTTCTTTTTTTTTTTTCACACTTAAAACACAGCATATTGAACACAGCGGACAAAGGAAAGCGACGTCTATGCAAAGCGACGCTGAAAAGGGACACTTTTCCTTCATTGCCATGACTTTTATTCCGCGGATTTTGTCTTTCCTGGCTGACAACGTTCGGACCGACCCACGTCCCGAGCAATGGGACAGCGCTATTTCAGCCACCGAAATCCACATCTCGCCAAAAAACTCGCCAACAAGTCGGCCAAGAAGCTCAAACCCCCCTCCACACACCACACACGCAATCCGCAGCAAAACACAAACCTATCCAATCCCAAACGCAGCATCCCTGCAGGATCCGAACCCGCACGGGGGAAACATCCAACCCTTCCATCTCCCCCTATTCCCAATTTCACACTTTTATTGCTCTCAGCTCCAACCTGCGCTCCGACCCGAGGAGCACCGCGTTCCCATCGGCCGCAGCTCCGACATCTGCGGAGCTTTGCTCCTTTCTCTCGGTTTCCTCCGCGGCTCCGTTTCTCCTCCCGAGCATCACTGACCGCACTCCTTCCTCCCCTCTCCGTTATTCCATCCGATGGAGCTTTGCTTTCCTTTCTTTATTCCTTTTTTTCCTCCCTCATTTCTCCCCCTTTTTCCTTTTCTTTTTACCTTTCTTTTTTTTTTTTTAATTTTCCTTTCCCTTTCCCTTTTTCTTTTCATTCTCATTTTCCTTTTTTTTTCCTTTCCCCCTCTTTTTCCCCTTCTTTTTTTCTTTTGCCTTTCCCCTTCTTTTTTTTCTTTTTCTTTTTCCCCTTCTTTTTTTTCTTTTTCCTTTTCTCTTTCCTTTCCCCCCCTTTTTTCCCCTTCTTTTTTCTTTTTCTCTCTTTTTTCTTTTGCTGTCCCTGTTTGCACCGATAAGCAGATATAACTTTCCCAAGTTTTACAGCCCATTTTCTCAGGGGGTGAAAGGGGGGGGGGAGAAGGAATAAAGTAGAAAAACAACCCTTCCACCGCAGACAGACACCGCTCATGTAACACAACCGTCTCATTCCCTTCATCAACAGTTACTTCGCTTTTCTCCTCATCCTTAATGGAAAGCAAATTCCAAATCCGGGCAGCACCGGCCGCGACATGAGAGAACCGTGCTCTTGAAAGTGAAACCCCACACCCCCGAGCACGGGACGTAAAAACGGCCGTTAAATTTTACATCTGATGCTTTGGCTGTGATGGTGAAAACCGGGATCTGGAGAAGATTGGAACCCCCCCCCCCCCCCCCCCCCCC